ACTGTTATAGTGATTGTCCGAATGAAAGGGAGGAAAATCGAAAAGGAAGACTTAAGTACAAAGCATAGTCGGAGAGGTTACCAATAAAGAGACTGAGGTCTGTGGTTTACCGCAGTCTAGTGTTTGTGTGTTACCTGTTTTGAGGGAGAGGCCGAGATTAACCCTAGTGGGACTTGGAACGAGAAGTTCAAGTATGAGTATCATTACCGTAACTCACAGTTCTATGGACGGTTCCGTGGTGCAAAAAGATATTGTAAGATCGGGTTTGCGAGCTTTTTGCTTGAGGACAAGCAAAAGTTCAAGTTCGGGGGAGTTTGATCGGTGGATTTCACTTGTGTTTTCAAACTCTGTTTGTTGTTGATTTTGCACTGTTTTTATCTGTTTTCGAAGCTTTGGTTTTTGTTATCTTAGTTACTTGTAGTCGTTTTTATGTAAGTCTTACTTTGAAGTTTGTATTACTTTTGCCGCTGGTGCATTTGATTCGGTTTCTTTTAGTGTGTTTTTGGCAGGAATTGATAGCCCGACAGTCGCACCGTTTCGGAGGCAAAGAAAAGTCGAAAAATGGAATTCAGAGGCACAACACGGGTACCCGTGTTGCACAACACGGCCCGTGTCAGGGAGGACACAGTTGGAAGACACGGTCAAGATGAGCAGAGGAAAATGGAGAATAAAAGAGCAACACGGGTGCCCGTGTCACACAACACGGCCCGTGTTGCAGCCCCTGTAGATGAAAAGCGCTCTGTTTGATTCAGCAGCCTGACACGGCCACCCGTGTTGCACAACACGGCCCGTGTCAGGGCCACTGATAGTGAATTTGTTATTTTTCTGATTTTTATGCTGTCAGACCTATTTTGAAGGGCATTTGAGACATTTTGTAATGTAATTTGAATTTAGATATAAGAGCCACTTTTTAGAAAAGAAGAGGACACTTTTGGATTGGGAATAGGATTGACAACTGAGGAGAGAAATTTCTGGAGAACGAAGGATCGATCAAGAGCGGAATCAATTGATGATCCAAGTGACCAAACTTCAATTGTAATGATCTTCTCCTTTTCATTTCTAATTGCATTTGTTTTTATTAAGAACATGAGCAGCTAAACCCCCATTTGTTAGGGGGTGGTACTGCATTGCGATGTATTGACATTTGTTTGGATTATTCTATGAGAATTATGTTATTCACCTTATATATTTTATCTTGCAACAATCTTAATGCGTATTCATATTGGAAAGTAGAATTCGATTCATGATTAGGTTTTGGTCTGGAAAGTCAACCTAACGCTTTTGCAAAATAATATTACGGTAGATATTGCTTAGGAATGGGGATATCCCGTATCACGTATTTTATTGTCAGAACTATTGCTTGATGCTTTTCATGGACACTGAGGAATTAGTGTACATGAAACTCATCAAAGGGTTTTTATTAAGGAATTAAGGAAAACTAAATTTAAGAACTGACGAATTAAGGTTAATAAACATTATCTCATAATAATCCTACATGGTCTTTACTTGCGTTGTGTCCACTTCCCTAACATCATTCTTAGATTAATCTCAAAGTCACTTTTACTCGCTTTGATACTTTGCTACCAAACAACCTCCTAGACTTTTTGTTCCTTTGAATACTAAAAATCCCGTTAATTTCTACGCAGTCCTCGAGATCGATACTTGGGACTTTTTCCCTTATTACTACAATCGGTAAAAATAGTACACTTGCTATTTTCCCGATCAGAAGGTTTACTCAGAAAGAAGGTGTCGACTTCAATGATGTGTTCTTCCTGTTGTGAAGCACAAATCCATTCGAATGTTGCTTGCCACTGTGGTACAGTTTGACCTTAAACTTGAACAGATGGATGTGAAGACTGCATTCTTGTATGGTGATTTAGATGAAATAATCCTGATGAGGCAACCTGGAGGGTATGTTGAAAAAGGGAAGGAAGATTATGTGTGTAAGCTGAATAGATCCTTATATGGACTGAAACAATCTCCTCGATAGTGGAATAGGAGATTTGACAAGTTCATGACACACATAAGTTTCATCAAAAGTCAGTTCGACCACTGTGTTTACTTCAGATTTCGACCAGGTAATTCACTTGTTATTTTGTTGCTCTATGTGGATGATATTCTAATAGCAAGCAACAATGTCGAAGATGTAATGAGGGTGAAGGATGAACTCAATAAGGAGTTCGACATGAAGGATCAGGGAGCTGTGTCTAGGATTATTGGGATTAACATCCGAAGAGATAGAAACTATTCGAAGTTAAGCTTATCTCAAGAGGCATACCTACAGAAGATTCTCGAAAAGTTTGGTATGTCGAATTCAAAGCCCGTTGTGACTCCGACAGACCCTCAATTCAAGATGAGTATAAATCAGTGTCCCAACACTGATGTAGAAAGAACTTATATGAATAGCATTCCATATGCTAAGTGGGTTCTTTGATGTATGTTATGGTCTGTACTAGGCCTGACATATCATATGCAGTATGTCTTGTTAGCAGGTACATGGCGAATCTTGGAAAGGCTCACTGGCAAGCATTGAATTGGATTCTAAGGTACATAAATGGGTCTCTGAATAGAGTCCTAATTTATGGTGGAACCTTGAGTGAAGATAATAAAGCAGCAATCGAAGGATATGTCGACTTTGATTATGCAGGTTGTATGGATTCCAAAAAATATATTTCTGGATATGTGTTTACTATGTTTGGGACAACAATCAGTTGGAAAGCAACACTTCAGAAGGTCGTTGTCTTATCAACCACTAAAGTAGAATATATTGCTCTAACTAAAGTTTTGGAGGAAGCATTGTAGTTTGAAGGTTTTGCAAAGGAGCTAAAACTTCAAGGTCGAGTTATCACTGTTAAATGTGATAGTCAAAGTGCAATACACCTGTCGAAGAATTCAACCTATCATGAGCGAACCAAGCACATTGATGAGAGACTGCATTTCATCAGAGGGGTAATCGAGCATGGAGAAGTCCAAGTGCTGAAGGTTTCGACATATCATAATGTTGCTGATATGATCACCAAGACGTTGTCCAGTTGTAAGTTTTTCCACTGTATGCAGTTGATAAAGCGGCATGAAGAAAACTAGTTTCTTGATATTATAGAGTTAGATTCAAAGTGGAGATTTGTGAGATGTTGGATCAAACTCTAGTATGGTCGAAGGGTAGCTTCTGGTTCGACAGGAATTAAGCATGAGGTCGAAGTATGTCTGCATGCTGTTGTCGGAGTAATGCGTGTTGTAGTTGAAGTTTGTTCTAACATGCATTAGTCAATAATGCTAGGGTTGTTAGCATGTTGAATTGGGTCTTACTTGTAAGTCCAATTGTTTAAGTTAGTTTGTACCCTAAATTAGCTTGTAATGGGTAATTGTTAAAAAAAGCCCATTAGGTTAGTGTGCTATTTTTCTTATAAATAGGATGCTAGTTTCTCAATCTTGACATAAGGAAAAATATGAAGATAAAATCCTAATTTCAAGAGAGAGAGGTTATTTTGTTATTCTTGTATACTTGTAATCTTGTTTCTAAGATAAAGGAAAGAATATCAGTTTATAACCAATCGTCGTTTTACCTTGTTTTCTTTGTTAACCCTAACCCTTGTGTGTTTATTGATCATAAAGAAACCGTTTATATTTTGTTTCAAGACATCCGCTTCACAATAATATATATATATATATATATATATATATATATATATATATATATATATATATATATATATATATATATATATATATATATATATATATATATATATATATATATATATATATATATATATATATATATATATATACACAACCAGCTGAGTTTTATGACGACTAATTAGTCGAGACCCACTATGGCTCCTCCGACTTATAGACATCGGAATTACTTGGTTAAAATTCATTTACGTAAAGTTTAGGGGACCCGGGATAGAACTCAAAACACTTCATCCTTACCGGCCTCGCACCCTTACAACCTATTAATCGTGGAAAGGAAAAGACTGACATACAAATAGTTCTTGAGACCAACAATGAAAATGGGAGATTAGTGCGATGAATAACATGAAAAAAGCAAACATGTCATGATCCTTGGAATAGACACTCCAACTAGACATTACGATTCTCCCTGAATAGTATCAGAAAGGTTAACTTTTTAATGTTTTAGCAAGAACAAGAGATACTAAAAGATGCTAAATCAAACCCAAGTTCGTTCAAGGCTCAAAAAGAACAAAGAGAGACTAAAAAGTAGCCTGATAATCGATTATACCAAAGAAATAATCGATTACGGTTTACTTCTCCTCCAATTTTTCAACTGATATGAAATTAAATCTCTTTCAAAATTATAAATCAAATCCGCTTTTAATTAAAAATTGCACAAAATTTCAAAATTATCGAAGATCTAATAAATTAAGCCCTAAACATAGTTGAAAAGAGAGTACCTTTTGATTTTTTTTCATTTCTCTCTTTTCTGGAACAACTTTACATTAATTTCATAGATTTTCTAACAAATTTAAGACAAAATTTTGACTCACATTTATAGAATGCACAACAATTTATTTACAATTTTAAATTTCTACCAAAATTTTGGATAAATTAAGATGAAATTAATCAATAAACAAAAGTGCAAAACTTTATGTTTTCCTTCTCAATTCCGTCTCAAAATGTGTGACAAGATTTCATCTCAAAATTTTAGAAGATTTATGACAAAGCTTATGGTTAGGTGGTTTTTACGCCTCTTACTATATAATAATAAAACGTGGTGTATGGTTCACCACTATTCCTTAAAGGATCCAAGTTTACAAGTTAAGTTAACGTTTTGATTTGGAATCAGAATTCTCCTCCTTACAATATTATTCCATTCCTCTCATCATCCATTCTTATTCCTTCAATTGTCCCTCAAAACCACACAAAGAATCCCAGCCACAATTCATAATAAACAACATAACATAACATCACCAACAACATTTTTTTCCAATATCCAAAAACTGTTCCTCGTCAAAACAAAACAACCTTATTTCTTGGAAATGGAGTCTGTTGCCTCCAGTTCCAATTCAACGCCAAACGATACCAACAACAATACCCGCCATCGTCACTCTCGTTTCAAACACAGCCAACCAATTTCAGACAGAATAGTAAGAGCTCTCCGCCACCGTCTCCGTCTCCTCCACCGAACCGGCTCCACCTTCTTCATATTCGGCGCAACCGGTAACGTCTACACCGTAACACTATCCTCTACACCCACATGCACGTGCCCGGACCGAACAACCCCATGCAAACACATCATCTTCGTCTTGATTCGAGTCCTAGGCGTTTCGCAAAACGACGCGTGTGTTCGTCGAAGAAACCTACGACCATGTCATCTTCAAAGACTCCTAAACATGCCAACGTTGCCGGAAGCGGTTGCAGGGTTTACGCTACGACAGAGGTTTCATCAGGTGTTCTTTGAAGGAGGGTCCAAGAAGGGGAAGAGTAATGTAGAAATGGAAGAAGGTTCGACGTGTCCGGTCTGTCTTGAAGAGATGGGGAAGGAAGAGGAGTTGGTGGCTTGTGGAACATGTAAGAATGTTATCCATGAAGAGTGTTTGGTTAGGTGGAAGAGAAGTAGAGGAAGAAGATCAGCGAGTTGTGTGATTTGTAGGGCAAGGTGGAGGGATAGAGTGGAACAAGATACGTATGTTAATCTTTCTGCTTATGTTAGTGAGGATGATTTTAGGGCACAATCATCTGGGGGGATTTGTACTGACTAGCATAGGGTGTAGAGGATCTCATGTTTAGTTTATGATTATTATTGTTATTAATTGTTAATATTCGTTTAAGTGAATGATTAGTGTTTCATGTGAAAGAAAATGGAAGTTAAATTATATTTAGTTGGATTGGATTGTTAATAAACCTATGTTAATTCGTACTATATAGCATAGCATCTATGTAAACAAGAGTCAGAATTAGTTTTCAATTTACTGTCACGAGATTAAAGTTCAAACAAATTACTTGGTGGTTATAAAATAGTTTAGAGGAAAGTGGAGTCAATATTATGATGGAGGAAAAAGACATGATGACTACCAATTTATCTAATTCCTTTTGGTAACTTATTCTATAGTAAAGAATGATTTCATTCAATTCGGTTTGAGAAAAAAATGCAAATTTAATGTTAATTAAGAAAGTTCTATTTTTTTTCCTAACTTATCTTTAATTATATTATGATATTCTTGAATTTTTCCTAGATGTTTCATTCGTGTTGCATTTAATTTAAGTGTGACTAGGAAAACACATACTAGCTTGTATGATTCTATAGTATAGGAGGAAGTTAAAATTTAATGTTAAAATATTTAATGATTGTAAATTCGTGAATTTAAAAGTACATGTGTATTTGCACTTTAAAGAAATAGATGTCATATAGACTAATTATTTAACATGAAGAATGTTTTTATCAAAGTCAATTTTACCATTTTAAAATTAGATATCATTTCTTGTGCGCCAAGTTTTTCAAATAATTATCATGATGAGAGTCATGATCATATTCTAAATTTGAGAGCTCTAACTTCTACAATCATGTTTGAATAAGTTTTCATAACTAGTTCTATTAATGTTCATGTTAAACAATCGCTCAAATCAATGCCAAAAAGTAAGGTGTATCTACATCTAAGAAACAAGTGGTGTGTAGTTTCACATCATGACTGCAGAGAGTGCCTCAAAACCATATGCATTCTCCTCCAGTCAGGTTGTTTGTTGTTGTGAAAACATTTATGCATTAGCTTCCAAGTCACTAACGACTTAGTGGGAGGTAAGTAGTGATTTCAAATGAGTTTTGTCCAAAAATACTCAATGCGACCTCCTGATATAGTTGTAGGCATCTTTAAAAGATAGATCACCATTTGTAATTCATGTTGAAATGAGTTCATTTTCCATAGTATTGTCAAATGAAAATTTGATTTTCAAAATGTCTTCAATAATTTGAGGAGACAAAATGGATAAGTCATGAAAAATTTTTCATTTGATGTTTTGAATAATTACATAATTTGAATATCCACTGCCAATACTAGGTGTGAATCTTTAATTTTGTCTCTCAACCAATTGTCGTCCATAAATCAATGTCTTTCTCACAATCAATATGCCATTTACTATGTTCCTCTAAAAAGGAGAATGTATGTCTAGTGTCAGACCATGTTGAAGAAGAAATATGATGCATGATTGGTTTTTTTAACCTCAAATCACTACAACAAAGTATATAATTCCTAACAAGCTTTTTACCTATTGAATATTGGCCCAAAGTAAACCTTTTAAATTATGTGCTTTTTTTTTATTAAAAAAAATTAAAAATGAATAAAATTTCCACTCAGTTAGACATTCAACCGAGGAAAAAAGTGATATTGATCATGAGTTTGATTTCCAACAGTAACACTTTTGTATTTTCATTATGGTACACTTCCTTTTTAAAAAATAATGATTAAAGTGAATAAGATTTTCTCAATTTGAGATGTTGGATCGAACTCTAGTATGGTCGAATGGTAACTTCTGGTTCGAGATGAATTAAACATGAGGTCGAAGTCTGTTCGTATGCTGCTGTCGAAGTAATGTGTGTTGTAGTCGAAGTTTGTTCTAACATGCATTAGTCAATATTGATAGAGTTGTTAGTATGTTGAATTGGGCCTTGCTTGTAGGTCCAATTGTTTAAGTTTGCTTGTACCCTAAGTTAGCTTGTAATGGATAATTGTTAAAAAGCTCATTAGGTTAGTCTGCTATTTTTCTTATAAATAGGATGCTAGTTTCTCAATCTTGACATAAGAAAAAATAGGAAAATAAAATCCTAATTTCAAGTGAGAGAGGTTATTTTGTTATTCTTGTATACTTGTAATATTGTTTCTAAGAGAAAGGAAAGAATAACAGTTTATAACCAATCCTTGTTGTTCTTTGTTGTTTTACCTTGTCTTCTTTGTTAACCCTAACCCTTGTGTATTTTTTGATCATTAAGAAACCGTTTTATACTTTGTTTAAAGACATCCGATTCACAATAAATTGGTGTGGTTAGCGTGAAGAAGATGTCTTCAACAAAGTATGAGATCAAAAAGTTCACCGGAGTGAACGACTTCGGCCTGTGGCGCTTGAAGATGAAAGCCCTACTGATTCATCAGGATTGTTTGGAAGCGTTGAAGGGAGAGACAACCATGGACGCTGCATTAACGACAAAAGAAAAGACGGGCATGATTGAGAAAGCCCATAATGCAATATTGTTGAGCCTTGGTGATAAGGTTCTTCGACATGTATCAAATGAGACTACATCATCGGTATTATAGGTGAAACTTGAAAGTTTGTACATGACCAAATCTATGGTGAATCGACTCTACCTGAAGTAAGCTTTCTATTCATTCAAGATGAGTGAAGACAAAGTGTTGGCTAAGCATTTGGATATGTTCAACAAGCTGATTCTTGATCTTGAAAATATTTATGTGAAGATCGATGATGAATATCAAGCACTGTTGTTGTTATGCACTTTACCCAGAACACATGCTCACTTCAAAGAAACTCTCTTGTATGGAAGGGAGTCCCTACCCTTTGAAGAAGTTCAATCAGCCTTGTATTCCAAGGACTTGAACGAACTAAAGGAGCATAAACCTTTGGGAGAAGGTTTTGCCGTTAAGGGAAAATTCTTGCGAAAGGATAGTAAGTTCGATAAGAAGAAAGGTAAAAGTCAACAGAAGTCTTATAGTGGCGAAACATCTGGTATTCGATGTTATCATTGTAAGAAGGAGGGTCACACAAGAAAGGTGTGCCCTGAACGCCTGAAAGATCATGGGGGTAATGGCAACGCAACCATTGTTCAAGATGACTTTGACTCATTTGATATTCTTGTGGTTTCAAGTGGCGACTCGAGAAAAGAGTGGATTATGGATTCAGGTTGCACTTAGCACATGACTCCAAACAGAGAATTGCTCGAGGAGCTATATGATCAAGATGGTGGGTTTGTGCTGCTGGGAAACAAAAAATCTTGCAAAATTGCAGGTATTGGATCTGTGAGATTCAAGCTCCATGATGAGTCAATAAGGTTATTGACTGAAGTCAGGTATGTACCTGACTTGAAGAGAAATTTGATTTCTCTTGGGGAATTCGACAAAAAGGGATATGTTTTTCAAGGAAAGAAAAGTATCCTAAAAGTCATGAAGGGGTCGAAGGAAGTCTTAAGAGGCGTGAAGAAACAAGGCTTGTATAACCTTGAGGATGAGGTTGTAAGTGGTTCGACAAATGTTACATCCATGAAACCTGTGTCGAAGACAGAATTATGGCACATGAGATTGGGCCATGTCAGCGAAAGAGGCCTGGTCGAATTAGGGAAGCAGAACCTACTAGGAGGTGGCAAAGTCGAAAAGTTGAAGTTTTTTTAATCTTGTATATTTGGTAAATCATGTAAGGCGAAGTTTAACAAAGGCAAGCAAATAACACATGGATCCCTGGATTACATTCATGCTGATCTTTAGGGGCCTGCAAGGAATCCTTCGCACTCAGGTGCAAGGTATTTTCTATCCATCGTTGATGACTATTCCAAAAAGCTATGGGTATTCATTCATTCAGAAGAAGGATGAAACTTTTGAGAATTTTAAAAGTTGGAAGATTTTGGTCGAAACTCAAACTGGCAGAAAGGTTAAGAGGTTGAGAACAGACAATGGCCTTGAATTCTGCAACGAAGTGTTCGACAGTTACTGTGTTGAGTCTAGGATTGCAAGGCATAATACTATAGCAGGTACTCCTTAACAAAATGGCTTAGCTGAGAGATTCAATCGAACAATCCATGAAAGGGTTAGATGCATGTTGGTTAGTGCTGGATTGAAGAAGGTGTTTTGGGCAAAAGCTGTTTCGACCGTAACTTACCTGATAAATAGATGTCCCTCGAATATGTTAATTAATTATTTAATTGAGAATATTCATGTTTCGGTGAATTTCTGGTGGTTTTGTGAATATTGGAAAGATGTGCATTTTTGGGTATTTACTTGATTAATAGCATATAATATTAATTTATTAGTATTATTATTAATTAAATGGAATATAAGTGAAATAAGGACAATTTGGGCATGTGAGGGGGTTAGTAAGGGTAATGAGGGAAAAGCCCAATTTGTGAGGCCCAAGACTAGGTTGGACAAAATTGAGTTCTGAAGGGAATTTGAATTCATTTGTGTTAACCGTGAAAGTTTGGTGGCCAGAGCTCTAAAGGAAAGGTTGGAGGCAGAAGATCCCGAAGTTAATCGTGAAAGCTGCGAATCGACTAAGGTATGGGGAGTATCGATGTTCATGATTTTCTATGTATGCCTTTAGATGTGTTTATGGTTGGTTTATGATTTAAGGTATTTTGGGTTGATTGTGGGAAAGTAGGGAATTTGATGATAAGGCTTTGGGGTTAGAGGTAATGGTATGTAGCACTAGATATTGATATGAGAAAGGGAAACCTTAGGCCTTCGTGGCCAAAACCTTGGATAATTATATGTTTGACCCTGTAGGAATAGGAATGTTCAAATGTGAGTAACTCTGAATGCACTAAGAGCAATTGCAGGAAAGTAGTGATTTAGGCAGTGCAAATATTGCCAGATTGGCCTAACAAACCATAGATTTTGTGTCGTTATCGCCGTATGACCGTAGGGATGTTTTAGGGGCATTGGGTAAGTGAATTGTATGAGTATTTGGACAAGAATTAGTTCTGGTCGTAACAGATTTTTGCTGTAATCGCTCTGTTCGCCTAGCGAGCAAGCCAGCGAAGGTTCGC